AGTAGTAGTAGTAGTAGTAGTAGTAGTAGTGGTGGTGGTGGTGGTGGTGGTACATTCCTCCTACTACTAGTAGTAGTACTCATTGTCAACACTAGCATGCTATGAGTTCACAAAGGCAATGGAAGTTGACAAATCAAAAAACAGGAATTGAAGTTGAGTGGAAAGCTACATATGATGAAGATTCTAGGCCAAGTTGATGCCTTCTCATACTTCTTCCTCTTCCATGCAAACAAAGAGCAGCACAATTGCTAATACTAGAGAGGTAAGTTCAAAGCCACATGAAAAGGTGCACTGGTGGTAGTCATGAAGGGAGTCATGAGGAGGATATAGTAGTATCAAAATGCCAATGAATAGTAGTTTCATATAATCTCGCAATGACTTGAATCATCAGATGTACTCCTAATAGTACTAGTACTAGTAATGCATTTACTAATTGAATAATCATATTTGTGTTGGTACTAGTAGTTATTACTATTACTATCAAGTAACATAGTTTTTGAAACTTTGAATCAAAATCAATTTAACTGATTTCACATGGCCATGACTGTCCAGTGACTCCAATGATTTTGCTGCTACTAACTCCTAATAGAATATGACTGTGTAGGATATATAGAGTCAGTAGTGGAAACTAGTAGAAATGTGCATGCATGTGATTAAAAATATCTGTATTTGATTTTTCAGTCACAAAAATACACTCCTACATCAACACAACAATCTTTTTGTTGAGTTTGCATTGGCAAAGGTACCAAGCACCTCTTTAAATTCAAATGACCAATACAAGAAAGCAAGCAGTACTTAAACAAAATATAGCCTAAAACAACTCTATCTTGGCTAGATAATTTGCTGCACAAAAAGTAGCAGTGCAACAAAAATACTGGTGGAACCCTTTTGACCCAGAACATGAAAATCACATGAAAAACCCTGTTTGAAGAGTAGTACAACAGGGATAGTAGCATATAAGAAAATACTTTTGGACAAGATCAGTACTACTGTGACAAAAAGAGGACCATTCAAATTGACCAAGAATTGAGTTTACTTCAGGTAGTAGTAGTACTAAGCTTCTTAATGGATGGTCATTTTTGGATGGAAGAGGAAGTAATCAGGAATCACTTTCTCCAAAATATCAGAAATCACAGACAATATACTACTATTAATAGTAATGCACCAATGACAAACTGGAGCACTACTCATTCCCAGCAGAGGCTTACTACATGGGATTGTCTTCTTCTTTCTTTCTTAGAATGATTGGTTTGGACAATTCAAAACTCCTCATGATCACCACCACATAGTAGTAGTGATTAAGCATCCCATCTTTTCTAGCTGAAGCATAAATGCAATAAGAAGCTGCACATGTCCAACTCCTGATTGTCAGTAAAAAACTTCATGGTCAAAAGCAAATACAGCCTACTACTAGTACTAGTACTACTAGTACTACAAGTAGCTAAATTCAAAATTGTTTGTCCTATCTGAAGGCAGGGACTCCTCTTTCTCTTT